CCCTATTTCTTTATTTGCATTCATAGTTAATGCCTGTGTTTAGTACTCTGGGAGGCTGAGGCAGGAAGGTGGCAAGTTTGACCCCAGTCTGAGCAACTTAGTGGTAAGACCCTACCTCAAAAGACAAAAAAGAGATAGGGATAGGGATATAGCTCAATGTGAAGGTCCTAGGATCAATCCCCAATACCACAAAAATTAAGACAAATTAAAAAAAGATAAAGTTGCACCCTCTAAATTCTCTCCTAGGCAATAGTTTTATTTTTTAAAAAGTTCCCTGTCTGTGACTTAGTACAGTAGATAACAAAGTTTTTCTTTGAGAATGCTTTTTTAAATCCGGGAGAAATACTAACCCAGCATCTTTGGCACCTGCCCTCTTCCTCTAGAAACTCCAAGCCTACTGATAAAGAGCTTTCTCGTGCACAGCTCATGCTGAGAAGCCTAGGTGTGCCCTGCTGTCAGCTAGTGTCACGTGGGTGTTGGGCCCCGCCCCGGGAGCGCACAGGCTACGGCCCCACCCCCTGGAGCCCTGAGGTCTGCTTGCCTGCTTCCTAGGCTCTCAGAAGCGGCTTGTTCTGCCTGTAGCAGGAGGCGTGGGCGCAAGGCTGCCTTAGGAGGCTGAGTCCTCGGAAGAAAAGCCCATGCGCCTCGACGTTGCTTCTGACAGGGCTGATTCACGTGTGTAATAATGCGAAAGAGTGGAAGGGATACTTAGTAAAGCATGGTGGCCCATGATGAAACTGGAGGTCTCCTACCTATTAAAAGGACTATACGGGTCCTAGATGTTAATAACCAGTCCTTCAGAGAACAAGAGGTAAGATGGAGAGAACCAGGCCAAAGGAATGTTTTCTAGCTGTTTAAGAGTTGCAACAGTTTATTAACTATAATTTTAAATTTATTAAAACTTAAAAGAAGTGATTTATATGCGTTTGACGTTGTTAAGGAACTGTGGTATAAATTTAAATAAATAAGTTTATTCATAAAGTAACTTGAATATACTTAACTTGTATGTAAAAAAAAACTTAAAATGTGCCTCGTTAAATATTTGTGTCATATTTGTGATACTTAATATGTTGTACTTTAACTTGAATGCTTAATATGGCTCTGTGTGTGTTTTAACTTGAATTTATATATTTATATTACCAAATCTTAGGAATGCTTTGAGTAAAAGAAAAATAAAAGATCTCTAAGTTAATTTTACTGAACAAATTGCTAATAAAGTACTGTTTGATGTGGTGTGCATGTTTTTCTTTCCACAGCTATTGTTAGTTCATTGTGTACCATTTTTTTCTTCAGAAAGGGTGTGCTAAAATATTTAAACCAATGAAACATTATTCTAATCCTCTGCAAATTGTCTAAAATCAAAAGTCGTTTTGGCTTTTTAAAATACGAACATTATCAAAATCAAGTTATTTTATGTCATTTTAAATAATCTTGATAGTTGATTTTATACTATTTTTTAAAATAGTATATAAAAACTAATATAGCATTTTATACATGGTACAACTGCAATGTATGTATTCTTGGTATTTACTACGTTATCACTTATATGATAGAAATAGTGTTTCTATATTCAACTTCTTACATATAATTTTACATTTTATATATGTAAACTTTACTGGATATCCCAGTAAAGGTGTATGTCCAACATATACTTTTTGGTAGTTAAAGTAGCTACCATTTTTAGGAGGTACGCTTTGCTTTGATGTGGTTTGGCTTTGGTTTTTAGTTTCTGATTGTTTGGTTTTTGCTTATGTATTTCAGTTTTCTCAAATGTATAAGCATTTCCTTTGAGTTTTGGACTATCAAAAACTAACCTTAGGGCTAGGGTGTATCTTAGTAGTAGAGCACTTGCTTAGCCAGGTGTGAGGCCTGGGGTGGGGGCCTTTTTGTCTAGTGTCTCATATGGGCCATGTTTTTGGCATACTTTTATTTCAAAGATTAAAAATAGGAGTGTTGTCAGGGTTTTAAACTAGCAACATAGCCTTAATAATTTGAGTATTTCCACTTCTGAGTAGGAAGGGAAGAAATCCCATGCAGTCATAACTCATTTTTATCTTTTTAATAATAACTTTATATTTTTATTCTGATTTTAAAATGTTTGTCAAGTTAGGAGAGATTATTTATCAAGTGACTCAAAACAAATAAACCCAGACACATACTGATTTTTTTCGAGTGTCATGATTTGACTGACTATAGAAAAGACCCTTCTAAAGTATGCCATCAGAGTAGCATCATCCAGGGGGGAAAAAACAAAACCTTTTTACAAAAAGCTAAATTTACAACAGGATTTTTCCATGTTGTGTATGAAAGCCTGATGTGAAAGCAGATTTCCTATGTTAATAAATGTGACTGCCTATCTAGATATATAATCTGATTAAAAATTAACCTAGATAAACAATATAAACTCAGATTGAGAGCCCTGGGTTTTTTCCCCCTCCAACTGAACTTTAGCCCTGGTGAAAGGTTGCCTACAGTAGAAAGTTCCTTGAGGATGTACACTTCGTGGGTATTCTTTATTTCCACAGATTTTTAGGTTATCTTTTGAGGAGAGTATATAGTTTCAGAATCCACATCTGTTGTTTAAGTTTTTTATATTCACCGTAACATGCTGCCAGCACTCAAAAGTAAATACAACATGATCACCATTATATGAGCCTTACTATTGGTGGTCGTAAATAATTTGTGTTCCTCTTTTCTTTCATTACCTCCAAATATTCTACCTGCATCCTATGAAGAAAGATAAATGTGGGTATAATACCAGTTCTCCAAAAACATTGTCTTAGAAATATGTTTTGTGACAGTGCAAATGTTTATATTCTTAATAACTAGTTCAAATCATTAAAATGGTTCACCAGGATTTGTAAAGAAAAACTACATTTGGTTAAAATTCACATGGGCCAAATCTTATTCTATATTACAAAAGAGATTTGTTTTTCTCTGCCTTTTAGGTGACCCATGAATCTCTAATCCATGTCGCTTTTCCAGCAAAAAAAATATTCATTGAAATTTTTCATTCTTTTGAAGCTTATTCTCTATCTGCCAAACATTCTTCACACATGTCCTTTTAGTAAGGCAGGCACATTATTATTGGGTCCCCAAAAAGCATTTACAAAATGTGTAGATATGTCTCCTTTTCTCCTTTCCCCCGTACATTTTTCCTGACTTAGCGCCATCCTTTCTTACCAAACATTTTAAACTTGATGAACTTTGAAGAGTAATATCTCCATTGTGGAGAAGATTATAGTTGTTTTTAAAGAACATATTTAACTACTAGATATGCTTGGCATAATATCCTGCTACCCTAAAGAGACTGCATAAACAACATCCATAGTAGTTTCAGAAACATGCTTTAGATATATTTACATTTAATTATCTAAAGTCTGTAGTTTTCATTTTAAATGTCACATAATTTTGAATTACCAGGGATTTAATAGTTGTGTACTAATCCTATAACATTAATAATTTTATCATTAATTTGATGTTATATAATAATATTAAAAATTTATTTTCTCCAAACTCAATTACTAATTTCTCCTTTTAAGTTCACTGGGAGGAACACCTTTCCAAAAGACTTTTATATTGAAATTAAATATAGTTTATAATTTACTGGAAAGTCAAATTTGATACACTTTAAGCAAGGAAGAGGAGCTAACCTTTGTTTCCAAAAAGCAGAACAGAACTGACATCTGCTGTGTTTCAAGTTAATGTTGGCATATCTTACTTTGTGAGGTAATTCTATTACCATTCAAACAGAAGACTCTTTGTACTGTCTTTACTAAATGGAAAGGAATGCCTTGTGCTCTCCTCTGCACACCCATGTGTCACTCAGTGTGCACAGTTATGTGAGGTAAAGGCATTCACACATGTCTTCCACCACTGCGCAGTGTGTGCCATTTTGCTACGTATCTCAAAGGTTTCTTTTTCAGTTCATTTAACATGTGCACACGAATGGCTTTATTTCCAAAGTTTACTTTGCAGTTAATGATTTGGGGAATAAGGAAGAGTATTCTACAACTCTATTTCTTAAAGCCTTCAAAGTTCTGAATTTTCTTTATCTACAAGCCTCTTTAGCAGTTCACATTCCTTTCTGATACACATGTATACATTTAAGAGATTTGGTAAGTCTAATTGCTTGGAAGAGACTCGAGTCATTTAAGTTTCTTTCCAAACAATTTTAACTTTTTCTGCCAATTCTTCAGTTGTTTGAAGGGGTTTCTTCATCCCCTTTTATATAACTTTAGTCATGTCAGAGAATTTCTAGAAAAGATACTCTATTTTTTAATCCTCACACAACTTTGTAAGTGAAATTCTGATCTTAGCCCTGTTAATCACTCCCCTGCCTTGGCTTGAACACTGTTTTATCCATTCTAGTATCATACATGTTTAAGGGTTATTCTCAAAATGAAGTAGTTAATGAAATTATATTTTATCTATGGTTTGCTTTAAAAATACAAGTAAAGGGAAAAGATGAAGCAGTTTTTATACAGGAAACTATTGAAAGTGACTGATTGATAGATACATAGGATCTGTTATGGTATTCTCTACTTGTGTACATTTGGAATTTCTTATAATAAGGGTTTTCAAAAAATTTATTTCCCACATTGAATTTAAAAGTTATATACAATCTAGGGCCAGGAATTTAGCTCAGTGGTGCTACGCCTGCCTCACCAAGCGTAAGGTCCTGAGTTCAATCCCGGGTACTGAAAAAAATAAATCAATCAAAAAGTACATAGAGTTTAATTTATTTGTTTTAATGTTACTTTTTCTCCTTTCCAATGATAATATTTGTTATGTTCTCAAAGTAATACTGTATTTTTAATAAGTTATTGTTGTTTAGTAGTGTTCTAATTTAACTGAAGAACATTCATTTTCAGAATTCCATTTTTCTGTATTTTACAGTGTCCAAAAACTTTTGTGAAAGGAGCTTAACTTTGTCCAAACTTGCATGAAATCATTATAGGTAAACACACATTTAATGTAATCTGGTTTTATTTTTACAGGAACCAAGCAATAAAAGAGTTCGACCTCTAGCTCGGGTCACATCCTTGGCAAACTTAATCTCTCCTGTAAGAAATGGAGCAGTCAGACGTTTTGGTCAAACAATACAGGTAATGAAGGGAGGAAGGGAAAGTAATGTAGTCAGGGAACTTTTTATTTAAACCTGAAATTTGTTATTTTCTTTAAGCTGTACAAACCTATCTACATTCCTATACTTAAGCATGTTTTCTTTTTGGAATATACTGATAAGGAATATTATTATGAGAACAATGTATAACCTTACACCAATTTGCATCGTATATCAAAAGACAGTCTTAGGTAGTTTTTATTCCCAAAAAGTAATTTTTGGCTGACAAGTACTTTTAAATGATAGATTGAAATATAAGTAAGGATTGTTTTTAGCATTGAAAAATTCTCAGAGCTTTGTTTTTAAATTGTGTTTCTTCACTTAAAAAATTTTTGTTTTTAAATAACTAGCCTCCAAATCTCATTTTCTCTTTTGTTCTCCTCTTTAAGTCATTTACCCTTCGTGGTGACCACAGATCCCCAGCCTCTGCCCAAAAGTCATCTAGCAGATCAACAGTCCCAACACCTGCCAAAAGAAGAAGCAATGTGCTGTGGTCAGAGATGTTAGACATCAGTATGAAAGAGTCTTTAACCACCAGAGAAATTAAACGTCAAGAGGTAACATTGGCATTAGTTTCAAGTACAAGACCATATTTATTGATAAAGAAAAAAAAACCTCATTTTAAATAATGGGTTCCCAGAAGACTAACAAACTAATTTCCCGTAGAAAAATTGGCTTGCATTTTTGTATTTAAGCAACAACTCATAACATGAAGAGAACATTTTGTGATGGATGGTGATCATCAAATTAAACATCTCTGATGGGTAGAAGTATAAAACACATGGCATCCTCTACTAGCAATCCTATTTTGAATGAGTTTTCAGACTAAATCACTTTAAAAAGAGTTGTTTAAAACAGTTAAATAATGTAAATATCAGTTGTATATAATTTTCCTTTCCCAAAGAATGACCTCTTATGTTTGCTGGATTTTTTTTAGGCAATATATGAAATGTCCCAAGGTGAACAGGATTTAATTGAAGATCTCAAGCTTGCAAGAAAGGTCAGTAAATAATCTTTTATCAAATGCCCTAGTTTTTAAAAATTACATTTCACAAATTCTAAAGAGTAAGTTTCTTAACCTTTAGAATAGGAAAATAGAAATATCTACTGGTGAGTAAGTGCTTTAGATAAAGTTTAGACACATCTCTTCAAATGTGAGTATCAGGAAGAGAACCTTTGAGGGATTAACATATACTTTAACTTCTTTTACTAAATCTGTGCTAGTTTTAGCATAGTTTGCCAAATGCATTCAAATGCAGTTTTTTTTCATGTTTTCTTTGCTTGATCTTTGTGTGACTGATTTCTCCTCCTCTGATTAGGCCTACCATGACCCCATGTTAAAGTTGTCTATCATGTCAGAAGATGAACTCACACACATATTTGGAGATTTGGATGCTTACATACCTCTGCATGAAGGTTAGATGTGCTGCTTAACTGAACTGCAGTTACACAATCAATTTAAAATCTAAACTAATAACATATTGACCTATTTTATAAATAAACCTATTGTTCTTTCTGCTTTTTTACACTTCAGATTTGTTGGCAAGAATAGGAGAAGCAACTAAGCCTGATGGAACAGTGGAACAGATTGGTCAAATCCTTGTGAACTGGGTATGCAGTGAGTTGTTGATTCTAGTTAGTTTCTTATAGATTTGTCATATTACAGTTTGTGTTGTAAGTATAATTTGCAAACAGATAAGGCATTAAAACTAATATGATAATAAGTTACAGTCTTTAAAAAAAAACTTTGGTCATAGTAGTCTGTTATAAACATGTTTGCAAATATGTTTCTACAAAGGCAGAATTCCCTCATTATATTCTGCTAATTATCTTTTGCATTCTTTCGTTTAAATATTGAGTGCCTGCTGGATACCGGATACTGGGAATTCAGTAATGAAAGGCATTTTCTGCAGTTATAACCTTGTGAGGGAAGAGTCAAGCCTATAAATATTGTCAGGGTTAGTGATGAGTATACTAGATGCCCAGGTGTCCTGGGAGCACAAATGACTAACGTCTAAGTGAGGTTGGAGGAAGTAGAAATCATGAGTCTTCAGTCAAATATAGGGAACTTGTAAAAGAGCATTCTGATGTTAGTCCAGAATAGAATTCTCCCTTTATCATCCCCAGGAAAATGTCCACATCTTATTAAAACTCAAGAATAGCTATACCATCATTTGGTGTTTCATGTTCATAGGGTTATTAATGCACTTAACCATAACAAGAATGCATCATACTTTTTTTTTTCCTTCAGTTACCAGGCTTGAATGCCTACAAAGACTACTGTAGTAACCAGCTGGCAGCCAAAGCTCTCCTTGACCAAAAGAAACAGGATCCAAGAGTCCAAGACTTCCTCCAGCGATGTCTTGAGTCTCCCTTCAGTCGAAAACTAGATCTTTGGAGTTTCTTAGATATTCCTCGAAGTCGCCTAGTCAAATACCCTTTACTATTAAAAGAAATTCTTAGACACACTCCAAAAGATCACCCTGATGTTCAGTTTCTGGAGGAAGCAGTAAGTAGTCCAATAAATAAGTCTTCCATTTTTCAAGTCCATGTGTTAGAGTACTTCAGAAGCATGTTTTAGTCTTTCATATACTAAATCAGGGCAGTGAAGTGTTTTGTTGTTTTTAAATACCTGATACATTAGCACACTGTAATAAGGAGATGTGCCTGTGTTGCTGTTACATTTTACATTAGTAGTTTAATTGAGGGACTGGATTTTAATCTGGTGTATACCACTAGCCAGCTTCTGGTTTTGGATAAATCACTCAGTTTGGCTGAGACTGTTTCTTCATCTGTGAACTGAAAGGACTGATTGAGTTGATTTCTAGAGGCCCTTCAAGCTTTAAACTCTACAGTTTCATGTGATGCTTTGCCTTGTAGGGAAGGAAGCAGAAGTTAATATACTGAAGTTGTTCATGAGTTTATTGGGGTAATTTTTAGGTATTGATAATACAAGGAGTTCTCTCTGATATCAACCTGAAGAAAGGAGAATCTGAGTGCCAGTATTACATTGACAAGCTGGAGTATCTGGATGAGAAGCAGAAGGACCCTAGAATTGAAGCAAGTAAAGTACTGCTATGCCATGGGGAGCTGAAGAATAAAAATGGACACGTGAGTGCATTTGAGTACTAACAGGAAATAAGCTTTCCTTTTCCCACACCATTGAACTTTTTGCACATAAATTGTGAAGCAGTATATAAAAACTTCATGAAATGGTAAAGGATTACTGATTTTTATTTTATGTTATCAGCTTTGATAAAGCAAACATTTGTTCCCTGTCATTGGAGAAAAACTAGTATGACTTAAATGTCTCAGAGAAGGATTAGTATTACTTTTTCAGTCTTGAAGCATAAATTTACTCATTTGGGTAGGGGTTCCTTTCCAAGTTGTGTAATATTTACTAAAAAAGCATACTCTTCCAAAAATTTTTTTGAAGACTTTATAATTATGAAAGCAGTTTTTAGCACTATTCAACAAATTTCTATAGATTAAATAAAATCAAGTTTATTTTTTAAATATTAATTGCAAAAGTACCTGGTATTTTTGTTTCATTATGAGCTTTTAAAAAACTACAATTTCTAAAAAAAAAAAAGCCCAATTTCTAAGTTGGAGTTTTTTTAGAAAAAACCTTTTTGAAATCTGATGTCTCTGATTTTTATTACAAGTCTTAATTGTTCTACAAAGGCTTAAATTTGTGTAGACAAAATGGAACCATTAATACTTTACCAGCTTGAATTTTTTAATTGCTACTTTTTAGAAAACTGTGAAATATAATACTGGTTTTTTAAGTCACACTACTACTGATAGTCAGGTCTTTGTGATGCCATACTGTTAAGCTGTTGCTTAACCCTATAGTACATACCAATAAAAAAAAGTTTTGTGTAATCTTGAGATTGAATTTTCCATATAAAATGTGCATAGACTTATTACTAGCTTATGAAATCCTTTATAAACAGGATCTTAGGAAATCAATTTGATAAAATTAATAATGTCAAATCAGGTTTTTAACAGTGTATTTCAGTCACGTACAAAGTTCCATATTGAGCATTTTTTCCAATTTCTACAGAAACTTTACATTTTCCTATTCCAAGATATCTTGGTTTTGACTCGGCCTGTTACACGAAATGAGCGTCATTCTTACCAGGTTTACCGACAGCCAATTCCAGTCCAGGAGCTGGTGCTGGAGGACCTGCAGGATGGGGATGTGCGAGTTGGAGGGTCCTTTCGAGGGGCTTTTGGCAACTCAGACAAAGGTAAAATACCACTTTTAAAATAGTTTAAAGAAACATAAACTAAGAACTAAATGAATTTATTCTTAATCTTTTAAGAATTCTAAAAATTAAATGATTTCCTTTTCTGGTACTTGGTTGAGTTGTCAGGTGCTTCACTGCTAAAGTCTCATTTCCGTTTTTTTTTTCAAAATTTTTTTCCAGCTAAAAATATCTTTAGAGTCCGCTTCCAGGACCCCTCTCCAGGCCAGTCTCACACGCTGCAAGCCAATGATGTATTCCATAAGCAGCAGTGGTTCAACTGTATCCGAACCGCCATTGCCCCTTTCCAGCAAGCCACCAGTCCACCAGAGCTTCAGGATTTGCCAGAGCTCCACGAAGAGGGTGAAGAGAACAACCCTTCTGCCAGGAACCTCCAAGCCCAGAGAAGGCCATCAGTGGTTTCCAGTGTTATGCAGATAGACGGTGACAAAAATGCATCTGAATTCGGTTTTGGTGTACAAGTAGCAGAATACTCCAAGAGTGTAAAGGGACATCGAATGCAATCTGGCTTCCGAAGAGCAAAGGAGAAAGCGCAGTTAAGTGGCAGACAAAAAGAGACTTTGGTGTAAAGGAAGCTCTGTGGATTAACTGGCAGGGAGACTATTTATATATGTGTACAGTTCTGTTTTTCCTGGTAATGAGACTATCATAGGGTTATTTTGTACCAGTTGTAATATTTTCATGGTTTGAGGTTCTTTTTCCTTTTTAAATTTTATTTTATTTTTTAATGGCAGCTAAAGGTATTCAGATTACAATTAAATTACAGACTTTTTTCAAAGATATTTTCTTGGATTACTTAGAACATGCAAGCCTGATATTTTTAAACAGATGAAATATTTATGAAATTAATGAGTTTTCCTGATTCTGGACTCATCATGACTTTTCAGTACCAATCAAATGTGATACTTACAATATCTGCTAAAACTCAAAATTTTTCAAATACTGGAATTATACCGGCATTCTTTGTTAAGCCTTGGATGCCAAATTTAAAATTTTTATATTGACACCTAAAATTTGCATGAAATATATGTTTGAAGTACTTCGAAATTTACAGTGAAATATAGCTTCCTTGGAAAACCGTAAAACTTAATAAGCTTTCCATTTTATCAACTGGAATACTTTATATTATGTTAGGCTTTTATTTTCACTGCACATTCCTCATTTTTCTTTCATTTATCCTGCCAGTTATTTAATTTTTTATTGTAAAGTAGTTTTTAGTATTTGCTTTTATTTTTTTACTTTGGTGCCTTTTTTAATTGGCATGTCTCTAAAAAGTATTTTTCTTCCTGATTAAAATGTGTGTGTGTATATGTGTATATATATATATATATATAAAAATATATATTTGTGGGTTTTAAAATCATATTAACTTTACCAAGTAAAACCAAGCCATACTGTTTTTGAGCCAATTAAGAAAATTACAGTCTTTAAAGTATAGCATTTCAGGGTAGTGAAGACACATGAAATAACTCAGTATATTTTAGACTACTGAAAGAAAATCACTTCAAGGATTTTATTGAAAGTTTTAATGTCTGAAAAGCAAGAGGGAAGGTAATTGACTGGTAATAAGTAAAAGAAAAAAAGAGGAAGAAAGAAAGTGGTTTTGTCTTCAAGTAAACAACTCTGGTTGTGCCAGAGTGTGAAAGGAGATAGGAAAAGCTTTACTTGAGGGTGTGTAGTAAGTTGTAGAAGGCTCGAGGGGAAGTGAACTTTTATTTGCTTTGGTTTATTGCAAATAATGGGTTTGAAAAGGAACAAATGTGTTCAGAATTGGACAGTATTAAATCAATTTTGGTGGATTTATTCATAAGGTGGAAAAAAGACTGGTGAACCTTTACTGCAAAATGTTTCCTGGGGAGGGAGGACTGAAGTCCTTTGTCATCACAGGTTTGTATAATGTTGATCAAGTCAGTGTTGACTATTATGTGAAATATATTTGCCAATGGAAATGAAAATTGGAAAAGACTGTAAATAGATCAGTCAAATGATTTCTCTGTATAAATGAATTATACAATTAAAAAAGCACACACAATCACCCTAAAGGTTTCTTGCCTGATGGATATTTTGGGACATCTGCCTAAACATGTTGGTGTGGCAAAAGAGGTAGGTAGTAGCATGCTTCACAATTTATAAAAATCACAAATATATATTAAAAATAATTTTTTTCCATTTTTCAAAAAAGTACAAATTAAAATTAGCCCCAATTTTTTTTTTAAATCACAAATAATCAAATCTTTGAAATTCATTGATGTGTAACATAAAAGTTCAGTTAGGTCAAGTCTTGTGATTCATGTGAAACCTTTTAAGAACACATTTTAATAAAAAAAAGCAATATACAGAAGACAACTGAACATTGGACTCCTTTATGGTTATGATATTAAAGCTATTAGCAAAACATCCTAACTGATTAATTTCACATTTTGATTTAGGTATCTCAGATTCCTCACTTTGGAAATTCAAATTCAGAAGTATAGACTATACCAATGATTGTGATCTATAACACCAGAAAGCAATAGTTCTAACCTTTTCTGGAAGTGTAACATAGAATATCATTCCTTCCAGAATTTCCTTCATCAATTTTCAAAGTTACAGAAGCAAGTGGTAGTTCAGATATTATAAGCAGAATGTTTTATCTGAAATCATTTCTTCCTTTGTTTCACTGATGGGAAAAAATAAAAAGAGTATATGAAATTAATGTTATTCAGAAATAGCATTTATATTTGACAGTGTGGATGACTTAGCCCAGAAGTTCTTAAACCTGTTAGGGACATCATAATCACCAGGAGTGCTTAAAAAAATAAATAAATAATTGGGCTTCACTCCCTATCCTCACATGCCCATCATTTCACTGGACCTAGATCTTGGGAGAGGGGAAATAGAGGGCTGATAATTTATATTTATATATGTCCTCTCCTAGTAATTTGGGTACAGTGAATTTTTAGGGTCAACACTTAATCATCACTAATCTAGCCAATCCCCTGTATGTAAATGATGTATAATAAATGTGAACATATATGTATTGTCCCAGATTGCCTTAACCTTTTTAGAGTTGGATCTGAAGAGTCTAATCTTAACCTTCTAGTAGGTGTGGTTGTGTATTTGCAGCAAAGAATATTCTCTACCTGTAAGGTCTTCAGCTCAGTGTTTCATCTCAGGATGTCTGCACGTGAAGTGCTAAACTAAGTGATCTAGTTAGCAGTTAGTGAGTTGACAAGATTTATTAAGAAACATCTCCACTGACCCACTGAGTATTCAGCTGCTTTTGGGCTAGTTAGGTCTACCTATATTTAATGCTTTTCTGAGTATGCAGTTCCAGCACAATATTCATTTATTCTCAGACGCATGATTAAGTATAATGTTAATCATTAATTTCACAGTCATCAGAAAATGCCTAGTGAAGGTTCACATCTGTAAATTTTGATGACTGAGATGAAGAAAATCCTAAAGTGCCCATCTTATAGTTTGTCTTCATCATACTCCTCATTTGAAAAGCTGCCTGCACCTGTGGATGAAACTGGTTGGTAGTAAGTATGTCTTTGTTATGTTTAAAAGTCCTGAGGATTTGAAGCAGATGATACCCCCATAAACTTGGATGTTTTTACATTGACATGACATGGGCTGGCAGTGTGACTTGTTTAATAAGAGCCCTTGTCTAGCATCTGTGCCCTGGGTTCAGTTCCCAGCATTGCATTAAAAGATAAATGAGCATGAGAATACCTATAAAGTGTAATACCCATTTGTCTGTAGAACCTTGTTACCATGAGAAGAATGTCCTAGCAAATGAATTTTCCTAGATCCAGAGGAAGTCTAGAACTTGATATAGAGGAGTTTTATTTTTTTTCTGCACATCTGAGCAATCCCTAAAAACAACCACAAGACTGGTTCATGGATGAATAAATGATTACACAAATCCATTGGTACTTAAATCATTTTAGTGTGTGAGCATTTTGAGAGTCTTAATAAAAGCTATGGCTCCTTTTGCCAGGAAAATGTGTGTGTGTGTATATATATACACACATACACACATTCTCACAACTTGGGTTCAAAGATATTTTTCAAACCTCTTTGGACTCCCAAGTTCAGATCTCAAATCTGTTCCAATGAGGACTCTTAAGAACCTGCTGGAGAGCAAGGATTTGCTTTGTCAATATGAATCCTCAAGGCACTGATACTATCCATGCTTTATGAGTAATAGTTAAAAATTCATACACTTCTGGTACACTTCTGGTACTTCTCATACTCTAGCTGGTCTTCTAAGCTATACTTAAGACACATTCAGCTGCTCTGGATATAGTTTTCTCCAAGATAATAATATCTGTTTTGCAGAATACTTTCAGTTTGATATCACATGGTCCTAGCTTCAGAATCCTGTGCCTTTCTGATCCTTGTTCTCTCCAGAAATGTCACTCTGCTTTCCCAGAATATGGGCTTCTGTGAAGTGATAAATGTGGTCCTGAGTAAAACTGAGTTCCTATCCTAAGCATGAAGTGACACTGTCCATTAGCTAGTTACATAGGTATCTCATGATGAACAAGGTATGGATTTTAAAAGTATGTAAGACAATTGAACCATCAGGATAAACTCCAGTGGATTAAAACACATCAAACATATTTTAAAACATAGCTTCATAATGATTTAAAAATAAACTTTTGATCCCCTTTGGAGTATCTCAGAGAACCATTTTACTACTTTGAAAATTAGTAAATAATCATGTATTTTTTCCTACCCTTTTTTATACAAACCATCCCTCAGGTAACTAAATAAGGAAGGGGAGATTCTCTGCATAGCAGAAGCCCAGCTGATAATTGAAGGAGGAGTCACCATCTTGTAACTCTCATGGGAACCTAGATGAACCTAGACATTGGTTGTGAATAAAGATCCAACATAGGCAGATAGATACCACTGCCTCCTGAGAGAAATGCTCACCAAGCAGCCCTGCTAAGAAGGTCATGCAGCTGGATGTGGTGGCACACACCTGTAATCCCAGCACTTAGGAGACTGAGGCAGAAAGGTCACTGCAAGTTTGAAGCTAGCCTGGATTATATAGAGTTCAATACCAGCCTGGGTTATATAGAGTTCAATACCAGCCTGAACTACATAGTGAGACCCTATCTCCAAAAAAAAAAAAAGATCAAACCTGAACCTCAATCAGAAAACAAAGGCACAGAATTTTTTCAAAATTGAAACTGAGGAAAGAGATGGAGGGAGGTGCAGAATCTATGATTTAGGAGGTATCAAACAACTAAACAAAAATTATTTGTCTTTGTGTTTGGTTTTTTTTGATACTGGGGATCAAACTTGGGACCTTGTGCTTGTGAGGCAGGCAGCGGCACCACTGAGCTAAATCCACAGCCCTAAACCAAAATTTTTAATATAAAATAATCAGGAAAATATTCAATATTTGAAGTTAAGTAGTTTATTACATTTTTATATTTGACAGTGGCACAATGAGTGTTTGACACCAGAATATGGATAAAGTTGAGCTGGGGGTGTAGCTTAAGGGTAGAGCACCAATTTAATCAGACAAGCCCCTGGGTTCAGTGCCCAGCACCAAAAAGAAAAAAATTGATCCCTGAGACCACATTCAAAATTATGGGGCAGGACATGGTTGGGAATAAGAAAGTGAGATGAGCCATCTATTGAGAATTCTTAAGCTATGCTCTTTGCTTATCTCTTTGTATATGTTTGAAATTCTTCACTAAAAAAGAGTTTAGAGAAATTAGGAAAATCCAAGTACTGAGTATACTTTCAGCTCCTCAGTCTCTTAAATTCTCTCCAAACTCTGAACCTTTGCTTTTCAAAGTAAAGGAAGAGTGCTTACCAATACATCTGCATTTGCTTTCTATTATCTCACAGAAGCTCAAATCTGTTGCCTGAATTAATGTCATACTTGCTACTCTCTGCATTACAATTAGGCAATAGTATTAGATGAATTTGATTCTGGTTTAATTAATATGGCCCTTTTCCTCATCTTTTCCCAGGGTCTCTTCCTCTACCATTGTTTCCTTTCCTAATAACTTTTTCTCTGACATAAAAACATGGATACCACAATTCATATGAACTGAGGCAGTGAGAAAGCACACCCTCCCTTCATATCCATGGTTTTGCTTTCCATTGGACTGTGGTCCAAATATATTAAATGGAAAATGGCAGAAATAAACAGTAAAATTGCTCACTGTTCCGAGCACCATGATGATGAAACTTAAAACTGTCCTTCTCTGTCCACCTTGGACATGAGTCATCCCATTGTCCAGAATTTCTATGTTATAAATGCTACCTGCCCATTCCACCATTTTGGTTATCAGATTGACTGCTTCAATCTGATACTGCAGGGCTTTTGTCCAAGTAACCCCTATTTTATTTAATAATGGCCTCAGAACACAAGAATAGTGATACATAGGATGCACCTGCCTCCTGAGAGGCATAAAACACAGAAGAACATTAACTGTCAAACCTCCAAAGCATCTAGGAAAAAATAAGGTTCACACTATCCACACATTATTAGGAATCAGCTGGGAGTTTTGAAAGATATCTTCAAGAGATAAAGGAAAACTGCTATATGAAAAGATTCCAGGTCTCACACAGAAGCAAGTTCTTTCTGTGTAACACAATCTTAACCAAAGTCCAGTTTGCTAGCTTTTTCTTTCTTTTTCTGTCTTTCTCTCTCTCTTTTTCTTTCTTTCTTTCTTTCTTTCTTTCTTTCTTTCCTTCTCTCTCTCTCTCTCCCTCCCTCCCTCCTTTCCTTCCTTCCTTTCTTTTTCTTTTTTTCTCTTTCTTAGTACATGTTTGCAGTGCATGGAGTTTATATTCTTAGTGTGGGGTTGTACGTGTACATAACATCTTAATTCCTTTTTTCATCCCCTTTCCCTCCCCTTCTTTCCTCTTCCTCCAACTCTTGATCCCCTCCCTGTTTGAGAAAGTTCTATTTCTCTACTTCCTGTTATCTTTTATTTTGCTCTTTATTTATAATTTGGCTTTCTTATATAAGAGAGACCATGTGATATTTAAATTTGTGTGTCCAATTTTATTTCACTTAATAACG